ATGAAGAAGTTGCAGCTTCTGATGGGTAGGTTTACATGGCCAGCCAATCATCAACTAAAAATGGATGGATTCTTGATTCATGGTGTACTTTTCATATGACACATCACAAAGATTTTTTCACTGATTTTCTTGAAATAAATGGAGGACAGGTAATATTGTGAAATGACTTTTCTTGCAAAATAAAAGGGATTGGTAAAACTGTATTAAATTTGGAAAATGGGAATGTTTTGCCTTTGAACAAAACTAGAAATTTAATCTCTTTAGGTTCCCTTAATGATGAAGGTTTTAATACCATTATAAATAAATGTATTCTAACACTTCAAAATGATTTTGCAAAAGTCATTAATGTTGAAAAATCCAATGGGATTTACACTTTGAAAGCTTTACCTTTACAAAACAAAGCTTTTGCTGCTATAGTCTCACAAGCTGATAAATCTGAATTATGGCACAGAAGACTAGGACATATTAGTGATAAGAATCTATACATTCTTAAGAAACAAGGTCTTTTAGGAAATGAAATGATAGAAAGAATGTCTTTCTGTGAACATTGCATCTATGGGAAACAAAAGAAATTGCCTTTTGTTACTGGTATTCATAAATCGCAATCTATTCTTGATTACTTGTATGCTGATCTGTGGGGACCAACTACTGTATGCACTTACTCTGGCTTTAAATATTTTTTGCTTATCATTGATGATTTTTCAAAGAAAAGTTGGGTCATTCTTTTGAAAAGCAAGTCTGACACCTTCAAACATTTTGTAGAATGAAAAACTCTTATTGAAAATCAAGTTAATAAAAGTGTTAGAGCACTTAAAACTGATAATGACCTTGAATTTTCCAATGAAGAGTTTGATTATTTCTGTAAAACTAATTGGATCCTTAGACATAGGATTGTTACCTATACTCCTCAATAGAATGGGCTTGCAGAAAGGAAAGATAGAACGATGTTAGAAAAGGTTAGATGTATGCTGATAAGCTCTAGCTTACCAAAGTTATTTTGGGGAGAAGCAGTAAAAACTACTTCTTATCTGATAAATAAGTGTCCTACTAAATCTTTAAAGTTTGATACTCCTGATCATGTTTGGAATGGTTATTCTGTTGATTATTCTAAACTGGAAATATTTGGATGTGCTGCTTTTATACATCAGAATGAAGGGAAACTTGAGCCCAGATCTGTTAAGGGTATTTTTTTAGGGTATGGTGAAAGTGTTAAGGTTATAGGGCTTGGTTAAGAAATCAAGGAGGCTATAAGGTTATTATTATCAAGAATGTGTCTTCAATGAGTTAGATATACCCTGCATTAAAGAAAAAGAGATAGCTACAACTGAAACTGATCAAAATAAAAATGTTTTAGAATCTGAACTTTTTCAAGTAGATTTAAACTCTGAAAATACTGATCAGATTGAGGTGGAGCTTGGGCAGGAGTTAAATATTGAACCTGAAAATGATATTGAGATTGAATCTGCTATTATACCTGAACCTGAACAACCTGAAAACCCTTTAGGAGACTATCATCTTGCAAGAGACAGATTTAGAAGGGAAATAAGACCTCTTTCTAGATACAATGATTCTGAATTTGTTACAGCCTTGAATGTCCAAAAACTTTTGGGTGCTGAGCCAAATTCTTATGAAGAGGCCATTGAGGGAAAACATGCAAGTTCTTGGCTTGCTGCTATGAAAGATGAAATGTTTTCACTAATAAAAAAAAATAGGACTTGGATCTTAGTGAACAAACCAAAAAGGGAAAGGGTTATTGACTGTAAGTGGATTTATAAAGTAAAAGATTGAGACTCTAATAGTGAGGGTGTAAGATTTAAGGCCAGATTAGTTGCTAAGAGCTTTAACCAAAGAGAGGGAATTGATTACGATGAAATATTTTCACCTGTAGTCAAAAACACCTCCATAAGAGTCTTACTTTCTATTGTTTCTCAATTTGATTTTGAATTAGAACAATTAGATGTCAAAACTGCTTTTTTACATGAAAATTTGGATGAAAAAAATTTATATATCTCAACCAAAGGGCTTTGAACAAAAAGGTAAAGAAAAATGTGTGTGTCTTTTACAAAAATCACTCTATGGCTTGAAACAAGCTCCTAGGCAATGGTATATCGGGTCTGATACTTTTATAAGGGGACTTGATTTCAATAAAAGTGAATATGATCCATGTTTTTACTATAAGGGCAGTGGAGGTCTTGATTCATATTATTTATTGCTTTATGTTGATGACATGTTACTTGCTGGGTGTGATGTGATTGAGATTAACATCATTAAGCAAAAACTAAAACAGAAATTTGAAATAAAAGACTTAGGAAAAGCTAAAAGAACACTATGAATGGAAATTAGAAGAAATAGAAGTAATCATAATCTGTTTCTTACTCAAAAGTCTTATATTTCAAAAATTTTGTGTAGATTTTCTATGGAAAGTGCTAAAGATGTTACTTTACCTCTTGGCAGTCATTTTAAATTTTCAACTGAGCAATGTCCTAAAACTGAAATAGAGATGAATAGGATGGAAAAGGTTCCTTATGCAAATGCTGTTGGATCCGTCATGTATATTATGATCTGCACTAGACCTGATGTTGCTTTTGCTAAAAGTGTCTTGAGTAGGTATATGAGTAATCCATGTGAATATCATTGGGAAGCCATGAAATGGTTGTTAAGATATCTAAAAGGGACTTCAAATTTAGGCCTTATGTTCTGTAAAAATAAAACTAGAATAAAACTAAAAGGTTATGTTGACTCAGATTTTGCTGGTAACTCTGATAATAGGAAATCTACTTCTGTATATAGATAATAATGTTGTTATATTCTGTTATATAGATAATAACGCTGTTATATTATCTGATAGTCAATCTGCAATACATCTTAGTAGAAATCCTATTTTTCATAATAGTACTAAACATATAGATGTTAAATTTCATTTTAAAAGAGATGTTTTAGAAAAGGAAATCAAGAAAATTGAAAAGATTTTAACTAAGTGTAATCCTGCAGATATGGAGACTAAAATATAGCCTCTATACAAATTTAGGGATTGTTTGAATCTCCTAAATGTTATTGGTGATTAGTGTTTATTGCAGGTACATAGAGCAAATTAAACTGAAGGATGTGTTAACCTCCAATCTGCTATGAAACCCAAATTGCTAAGCAAGGTAGAGATTGTTGAGTTATATGCTTAACAATTTGGGCCCTATGATGGAACTCATTGTAATATGAAGAGTCTAGCCCATTGACTGCAACTCGAGAGCCCATTCATTATATTTCAAAGGCTAAGATGAAGCCACGTGGAAGGGCTGTGATCTTTGAATGCATCTGATCGTTTGTATTATTGGCTTGACCTTTTCATTTACCCGTATTCGAAATGATTCTAGGGTTTTCTCATCTCTTGCTCTCTCTGTTCTCTCTCTCTCTCTCTGAATGCCTTTGGTTTTCGTCTGTAATCTCTAAACTCTAGGTGTTTCTTGATGAGATCTAGTATTTGCAAGGGTGTAGTTTGGGTGATTATGCTCTTGTTGTGATCGGTAACTTTTGGTTACTTTGTGTAATCGAGTCGGTGGTTTCTTGAGAGAAGATCTGGGTCTGAGGGTATTATCTTTCGTGGATCTGTTGTATTGTGATACTTGCTTTGATTAATTGTTGGTTTCTAGTGGATTGGAGCAATAATCACTTCGGTGAATGCTCAACGGGTGATTAGCCATATTAACCCTATTTGGGTGAACATTCGGGCCATAGGGCGAAAAATCATTTGTGTTCAATTTACGTTCTGCAATTATTTTGTGGTTTTGGGACCTGTTAATACCAACAAATGAGTATGTAAAAAAAAAAAATTGAAATAATGATTGTCAAAAGAGGGCTTAATCTAATAAAGGACGGATTTTTTTTACCTGCATGTAGCCAAATTCGCCGAATTAGGGAGAGAATTGCGAGAAAAAGAATGTACCTTTTGAGATAATAATTCAAAATTCCAATAGTAATGGGTCCTATCATTAGTGTACATATTATCCTACAGTGTGAACATTCTAAAGAAATATTGGATCGTGACATACACTAGAGACATGCTTATCTTGTCAAACTAGTTAAAAGTTATTATTATTATTCTTTAGAAAAATATTTATTTGGTGATAATTTCTTTTTATTAGTGTGAACATTCTACAGAAATATTAGTGTAGATATTATCGTGCAGTGTGAACATTCTAAAGAAATATTGGATCGTGACATACACTAGAGACATGCTTATCTTGTCAAACTAGTTAAAAGTTATCATTAATATTCTTTAGAAAAATATTTATTTAGTGATAATTTCTTTTTATTAGAAAATTAAACATATAATAGACAAAAATTTAAGATGTAAAGTGCTGGTTTCAAATTGCATGATTTACACTTATATAAACGAAATGTAGAGATTATTAAAGTTTGCATATTCAAGAAAAATATTTTCAAGCTTCATTCTATATATTATATAGTACAAAGAAAATAAAGATATGATTAGATTCAAATGTGAACATCCTTAATTAATTATATTTAGTTTAATGATTAATTAGTGTGCTATATAAAATTGTGTAGCAAGTCTTTATCCATGTTGTCCACATTATTAGGCCCTAATCTTCGAATTGACATTACGCTTTTCAAATTATGATTGGTAAACGCATATTAGCCCCTCGTTTGGTTAACTTAAAAAGTAAATTAAAATTTAAGTCAAAATCAATAATAAATTATAACAATACATTTCGTAGGACCCACAACTTTTCAAACATAAATTTCCTTAATTTTTATTAAAATCTACTAAAGATTCAATTTTTATCTCAACCAAACAGGGACTAGATTAGGCAAACATGTTTTCAAATAGACTAAATATAAGACACAGAATATTTCTAGAAGAATATGAAAAAGAGAACTCTAATTACAATAGAAATAGGTAATGATTTCATAATAATAAATTGCCTAGTAATTTGACAATACGAGAAATTCCAACCCATTTTTCCGGAGGTGGTGGGAGCGCTGTCTCAGCTAGACATAGCTTCTTCTTGAATAATTTCTAACATATCATGCACAGCATTGGCAATTTCAGTCACTGTACTCAGCTGGCAATCATCCTCAACCTGAGATATTCAATAATTTCAGTCACGTATTTATTTGTTGAACTTAGATAATCATAAATCGTGTTGAGATCATTATGTTTATAAATAATTGTATGTGTTAATAGAAAATACAAGAGAAAAGATACAGTAAATTTCAGCATTTGATTAACGTGTATTACCTTAACGCTGATGGAGTAGAGTACCAATTGATCAACGGTGGTGATGTTAAGGTGAAGAACTGTTAGAAAAATAGACTGTAATCCAGTTACCATGTTCAAAAGCTGTTTTGGCATTTTCCTAGATAATATTTTGATGTTAGCATGATTCTCAACCATTGTCACCTCGATGTCTGCCACCGTAGACTGCTTCTCTGCTATATCACTGGCGCTGCTGCCGGCCGTCGAATTTCCGTGGCGAGTTGGACACGTTGAGTATTGAGGAAAGGAGAAGAAATTGGAGAATAAATGGGAGTGAATACTGGTAACAGTGCAGTGTTGCTTCTTGGCCACATTATAGGCTTCCAAAGATTGTTGGAGTTGTTCAAGCTCCTTCACGAAATTAATAGCCCCCCCAACAATTGATGCTTGATCTCCCTTCAAGGAAAAATCAACAATAATATTATTTCCAAGAAAATATCAGTTCTTATAATACTAAATAATGTGAACAATTTACACTAATTATGTCATAAACAAGTACCAGCTTTTCATCTACAGAAATATGTGCATATAAAAATTATGTTTAGCAGTCATTAGTTTTATTTCTTCTATTGTGATAAGGATAGAAATGATACTATTTTGCATGTAAATGTTCAATCATGCTACACAAACAGGTTCAGCTATAGGTATTAAAAATAGGGAGACACGTGGTGCAACATCATTGGACTTTTTGAAAAAAAAAAACAAAAGAAAAAAAACTTGGCCACACATGCAGCACCTATCCAAAACCCTGTTTTCAAAGCCTGTTGAACAGCATTACTCGTAAATGTTTGAGTTATTCTTTGTAACAAGGTTGAATTTAGACTCCAGGTAGAGGTGTGTGGGAGAAAGAGAAAACCTACTCTTTGAGCATAGGAAGGGGGCATCAAGGAGCGGAGGATGGCAAGGTAGTCATTCATCTGTCTCCGCCGATTTCTTTCGACGGCAATATGGGTCATCCTTTGGTTCTCAATTTCTTCCTTGTTCTTGGAGCTCTTGATCCTTCTCCTCTTGCGCCGGCTGGTGGTGACTGCCGGAGCCACAATGGAAGAGTATTCTCCGCCGGAAAATATCCCTTGCCCGGCACAAATTTCCGGTGAAGAACTGTTGTTGGTCTCGCAATCTTTCACACTTTGAGCAATAGATGACGGTGTAGAATCCCAATATCCACTTGATATTTGTTCAGTATTAAGCTTCTGTTCTTGAATCCCAAAGTCAAAGCTATAATCCCCCATATCGCAATAATCTTTCCAATCAGCATAGCTAAAAGGATCTTGCTGGAAAACAACAGTCTCTAGAGCCATTCAGCTTCTCTCTCTATCAGTTATTGAATCTTGGCACTTTTCTTGTTTGCACTGAAAAAATACACGTAAAGAGGGGGTACAGGTGAAAGTGCCGTGTTGGCTCTCCATTTAAAGGCTTACTCAAGAATCAAAAAATACAAAACAAAACCAAGTTGCACCAATCACATATATCTACAACAACTCACACGTGAGGCTGTCTTGTATGAGGCTTATAATGTGTTTGCGCGTGTGAGAGTAGAGAGAGAGTCATTCTCGTGTGTTTGACTAGCACGAATTCTTAAAAAATTGTAACATTAGTTGAGCTTCAATCTAAATAACATTTTAAGTGTCTATTGATAAGAATAATGTTATTTAGTATATGTTGTTTGTAAATTAGAATTGAGCGATTTCTTTAATACGAAATAAACTTACCAAATCTACCAAAATTAGAATGGAAAGTAAAAGAAAATAATAACATTAAAAAATGAGATACAAATGGTAGGGACGAGATGAATTATTTGTCCTTAAATCGAATTTTCCCGCACAGGTGCTTACGGATTATGGCTATTAACTCCCAAGATACAAAAATCGACTTCTTGTGTTTGCAACATTTCAAAACAGAAAAACAACGAATCAACACATTGTTATGTACTCCTTTTTTTTTAATGAAAATAAAACAAAGGTTTTGATGCAGAATTTGGGCAGGATAATGTTGTTAAAATGTTATGCTATGATTGCATAAGATCGGAGTGAATGAAAATAACACCAAGGGATCTTACTTATAGGTGTAGAAGAATTGAAAACCGAAGAGAGACACAATCCAAAATTCAACTTATTTCACGAAAAGTTGTTTAGGTTCACTAACGCTTGTCTGACGCTAGACTGTCGCTAGAGCAACGGTCTCACATAAAAAATTCGATTTTTTCTAAGTTCAAATTGTGTTTTGTAACCCTACTTTATCCACTAATTTCTCATTCATCCAGAAATAGTTTTTTATGTCCAAATTTGTTAAATTCATCTAATCGACTAATAGAACATGATTGACTCGTTTCTCGCCAAATTCAAGATGGGACCCATTGAAATATTTGGTTAAGTTTAATGAAAATCAACTTTTCTATAACTATTTTCCAATAGTATATTTAGGATTTAGTACTAGTTTAGGAGACAATAGGATCTCACTATCATATGGATTTATAATAAGCACAACTGATACTAAATAACATTATTCACTTGATTGATCATTTTAAAAGTGCTACACATTAACATTCATTCAAAAAATTTAATGCCCTACAAAGATCCACTGAATGATGAATACATTAGCCTAGGATGTTATATGAATTATGATGCATCAAAGCTTTGCAAAGGTTCTTGTTTTAATTTTATTCGAAAACATTTTGAAAGTGGAATCTCTTCGAAAACTATTAAATAAACCGAATTAGAAAAAACCTTGAATACTATAATATATACTCTGCATTTAACTCCATCTATTATCTCATTTTCTCCTCTCTCCTAAAGTAGAATTTGTCTGCATAAAACTTTTGTGATTTCGATAGGCATCACAGCTTCAACTCAGGATCAGTGGAGTTCTTTGAGCATTAAGCTTTGTTCGATTCACAAGTGACGGTTGAAAGTTTTCATCTTTTTTTGGCAGAAAAGACCGATATTCATTTTAAGAAATTTCTGCCTCAATAAGACGTAGCAGGAGCACCTTTATTGATATCTTATACAAGATTAACGCCGCCATTTATTGATATCTTATATAAGATTAAGGCCGCCATTGGGGGAAAAAATAGTTGATTTTGGGGGAAAGCCACAGAAAACAACCAGCTGGGTTGAGTCCCTGAAAGTGTCGTAGTCATTGGAAGGAATCCATGTGACAGACTACACACAAAGAAAGGCAAATTTGCTATCATCTTATATTAAAGAACTATGCTAAGTATACAATTCATGGGTTATATCATGGTCTACATTGTGTGCAAATTCAAAAAGTATTGGACGGGAAAGTGTTTTTTCTTTAAAAAAAAAAAAAAACTGTTCAATCATGAGCCAACAAATGGCACAGTATTAAAAATAATGTAAAACAAGATGTACATGCAGCATGATTGTATGCGAAAAGCCAACTCATTCATTTTCTGGTTAAAGGAGCACTACTTTTACTATATTTATAACCTTTATTTGGTTTGTATTAAAATTAAATTAAAATCTCAAATCAAAATCAATAATTAGTTTTAACTACATATTTTATGAAATACACAACTTTTTAATCGCACATTTCATCACCGTTTTTTGAAAATCTAACTTAAATCTACACCAAACAAAAACATAATGTCAACATCAATTAATGCTAGTACATATTTGAAAAGTAATTTTAGTATCACCCTCAAGTGTTTGTATGATGATCTATTATAGTTTCTAGAAGTTCGATATGAAAAAGTTTTCTATGTGAATTGCAATAATAGAATTTCTACAACTTTCATTATTGTTGGCCCTAGAGCTTGCTTCTATTCTCATTTCGACCTAGTATTGGTCAAGGGACTCCTAAGCGTCTAATCAGACCTCTTAGATATTCTAACCAAGTTTCTCCTCCACCAAACCTTTTTTCGATACACAGTATCCAGTTTGTTACATCTTTTGTACGGATTGGAACTTATTCATACTGGATTTATAGAATTAGTCATGTTCAGACATACAATAATTGGAATTTTTATCTCGATAACCGTGAAAGGAATTCTCTAGAAGATATTTTAGCTTCGAATTATTTAACCACTATAAAGAAATACCAAATTTGGATTAAAAAAACTCCCCACCCCCCCCCCACCCCCACCCCCACCCCCGGTCCCCTCCTCCTTATTCCCTCCCTTCATTTTTATGCACGCAGAAATAACTTTTACAGTAAGACAAGAGTGGAATGGAATATATTCTTTAGACTTATGGATGAAACTGCAAAAAAGCACAAATTCCATCAAAACATTGAGGATATCATACTCATACATGATAGATTGGGAATGTATTGTTTTTTGTGGGAATCTTGGGCATTATTATTTTTTTCCTGGCTTAAAAGTGAAGGCAATGACCAAGAAATTGGAATGGTGCTGGGGATAGATCTGTTCTTAGAGGCTATTCATTAATAAGAACCTAGAAATTGGAATAGTCATTCATTGCTACAATTTTTCACATGTTCGCTCCTTTAGGAAAGATGAAAAAATTAAAATAAAACCAAGAATAAATACGACAAATTAAAGCATGTGATGTTCAAATGTTGGATAAAATGTTCATAAATCATTCTAAAATTGTATAGGATGAGAATGCAGTGAGAAGTAAAATAAACATTTATTATTTTCTCCTCATTTTTTATTTAACATATTTCTTTTTATTTAACATATTGCTGTAAATGTCAATCCCCAATCGATACAAATTTGATTTGAATGATTTAGAAGTAAAATGTTGAAACCTATAGCTTACTAAGCAGGGGCGGATCCAGGAAGGAAGTTTAGTGGAGGCGAAATCAAAAAATTTTGGAAAAAAAATCTGAAAACCTAAAAATAATCTGGACAAAAAAAACTTAAAAAATCTGAAAATTGAATAGGGGCGGCAGCCCCCACTGGGCTTCATGCAGGTCCGCCCCTGTTACTAAGTGAAATCTTAATAAAGTGATCCGACCTCTCAATTTTTAAAAATTAAAATAGAACATTTTGGAGCTCATTTTATTGACTCTTTAAAACATAGTGCATTAATTAATATTTAAAGAGTCTTTTGAAAATGCTCTTTAACGTACATGCATAGATAGGAAAAATTCAATGCCGGTTCCTACTTGGACTCTCCAACATATATATATATTCAGTGTAGTCCCTTAACTATATATTGTGTGCATTATCGATCCTTCTCGACACTATCCATCCATTTGAAAGTTGAAATGTCATTTTTTTTAATTGAAATAGCCATTATGTCCTCGTGCTCAGTTACACTCATTTTAATTTTTGAATTCTGAAAAATGCCCAGTTGCGAGTGAGCAATGATTTTGTACGAAAAATGTTCTTGATTCATGAAATTCATGAAATTATTTTAAATTTTAATGGTACCAACTATATATGGTAAGGAATATTAGGCTTGACTGAGAAATTACCTAACATTATATTTAATCAAAGTGGGATCATATATAAATTTAATATTACCATATCAAATTGTCACAAATAAATACATGATTTAATTTGTTATAATCACAAACGTGAAGAATTTCCTAATCTTCGTCTTCCATATTTTTTGGCAGTCCAAGATTGATAAACTAATTAATGTATTAATTGTACCTAAATAAGATCACATTCTAAGATAGATCGGAGACCATGAAGGACCACTTGTACCAAATAAAGATTGTTCAACTCTTTCAAAGATTTGCGAAATTTAATGAATCGGGTCCTGTGAGGGAATAATGATAACATATTAGAGACAGGGAATAGTTTTATAAATTAAAGAAATATGCTATCTTTCAATATTTCAATTAATAAAACATGACAATTTGGATATTTTAATTAATGATTGATTAGTAGTTCCAACATTCAAGTACAAGTATTTTTTGTTCTCTTTTATAAATTCGTTAATAAGATTAGTGGAAGAATTGGTCATCGTTAAGCGAAACTAAATAATGTCACAATTAATCCTCATTTGAATGAAAATTGTAAAAAGCGAAGAAATGACATAATGTCGGAGTTTAAGATTCTATTCTAAAAGGTTATCTACTTAAGAGAAATAACTTAATTTTTTTATACGCTCATGTTTGACACACATTTTTTCAAAATAAATTCTTTTAAAACTCATTTTCAACCACGCATTTTTCAATAAAATAATATTTTACATCATATCAATAATTTTTTCTTACTTTTTAACCACATATTTTTCATCGTATCATTATTTAAAATACATTCTTTCCTTAATAATATCCATCAAACACACCATAAATTTAAGATGTCACTATTCAATATTGACATCCGCACTTTTTAGAAAATCTCTCTCAATTCTCGAATGAA